CAAAACTATCCCGACCAGTGTTGACAACGGATTACGGGATTCGCTTTATACACCCCGGAGGAGGGTGTGTGGGTATTCAGCAAACCACAACCAGAGCGTTCATAAAAGTAGGAAATACAAAACAGCAATAAAAAATGTGAATCGGACAACAGCACAAAACCATTTATCACTGGTTTTGCATTTGCATTTTGCGCAGATTTTCTGCACCGAGTTCATGGTTTGTGAAAAATCTGCCGGGATATAGGACAATACAGTGCCTGTGAGCGTTTGGTGCATGTTTTTGATTTTATAACTGGAACGTCTGAATGGATAAGAAAGGCAATGATCAGGATGTAGAGAACGGAAACAATCAAGTAGAATCTTGAAGAATGTTATAAGGTGGTGTTCCGGATAATATTTTCACCTCTCAAGTAATTCATGAACACATATTCCTTACGTAGCCCTTCTGTTTCCCTTTCTTGATCTAAGGGCGGTCTGTAGCTGATTCCACCGCACCGTTTTTATTGCTGCCTCCTTGAAAGGTGCTGCGATTTCTGTATGCGAACAGCCCAAGCCGCTTTCGTGCGCACAGCCCTTTTTATCCAGAATCCGGTGCTTATCAAGGTCATTTTCCCTTCTCAACTTCACACTAGATGTGATTTTGACAGTAACCTTGTCCCTCTACGAGGATTGCGTTGTTGATTTCCTCCCAAGTGACAGGTCTCATCTGGAATATGCAGATTGCATTATAGTACTTTGTCGTGAACCGCGCGTTCATGGCAAATTTGGGCATTAGGAGCCTTGCTCGGCATGTGCTTTGCGCTTTCAACGTATGAGGTGCTGTTACAAAATGGTTGATTGGTTTCTTCCTTAACTCCAACCTAGCGGGGTCTTGTGTGGTTCATCACTTAGCTTTTAGGGTCTATATTGTCAGTTCCCGCCGTTGAATAACAAATATTCGCGAAAATGGCGTTTTGCCCGCTGTTCATCACACAATGGTGTAATAAAAAATCCAGCAGTAGAGGTAGTAGACGCCCTAAGAATTTCGAACACGCACACAGAACGCTTGGTTGGTATTTGCCGACATGTGGCCTCAGTTGAACAGTCGGATAAGTAATCACGTTGACGGCAGGTTTATGGGTGATCATGTCCACGTATTGTGGTGAACAGTTACTAATTGCACCTCAAAGTGGCTAACTCCTTGGGGGAGGATGAGCCGATTTCGTGAACATTCATTTTTTTAGTTTGGTACTGGATGATGTTAAGTGAGGATCCAGGTATGTTTTTCTATATAGCTTGAATGCCAACTTAGCTACATTCGGTATACGTTATGCACCTTCAGAGTGTAAAATTTTGCTACCAGACTGGGTTGGTCCAACACCCAGTCTCATCAGCATTATCATCCTACGACAAAATACAATGAGGCGAACTTCACTGATCGCTGCGAAACTCGCAATGCATACAAGGTTAGTGGTTATAATTTAGGTTGACTGAGATTGGATCGACCCGTGTTAGCCCGTTGAAACGTACAGCGCACAGTCAGTTACTGGCTGGAATCCAGTCAAGAAGCGAGCACAGCCTTGGCACTTAACGCCATCCCAACATCAGCAACACCACTAGCTTTGGATACCGAATCACCTAACACACTGAGGGTGAAGCGTGAGGTCGATATCGAGTTAGGAGAACGCAGGGAAATGATTGAAGTAGGGTCTTGTATGCGTGATTCTGAGACACAGTATACATCTAAATTGACAGTTTCAAGGGTTCTAGCCAAGATAGCTCGTTGACCAATCTGATAGTGTGCGGACATTGAACGCGGCTAAGTGAAAAGGAAATTTTGGCTTCAAAAATCTCGTAACTTCTGATTGTTTCGCCTTGCTGGTAAAACGCTGAGTGATATTCGATGGGTGGTGTAAACAGGCTTCTGGGGTTATTCGGGATTGAGAAGAAGAACTAGATAGGTCGGAAAGAGGTTTTTCCAAATGGATGCCTAAGACTTGATGGCACGGTATACTCTGAGGTTGCCTACACCGACGAACGGGATATTCTTTGGGAACCCTAACCCGAGCCTTTGATTCAAGAGTCTGACCCACGACTGCCAACCCCGGCCAAACTGGGGCTTTCTAACAGACGATCGGGAGCACTATTCCACACATCGCTTAGGCTTTCAGGAGTGGGCTGAATATCATCATCCTCCTACAGCGAAATACAGTGAGGCGAACTTCACTGATCGCTGCGAAACTCGCAATGCATACAAGGTTAGTGGTTATAATTTAGGTTGACTGAGATTGGATCTATTTTGAGGGAGGGGTAAGAAGGTGAACCTCTATAGTTAACACAGAGTGCGCAATCGAACTCTGCATACATACCGCTTCAAGCATTCTGACCTGGTAAGAAACGATAACAACGACAACGCAACTGCTGTCGATTCGCTGCTAGATCCTTCAATGTCTCCACCCAACCAGTTGTGGAGTCTTTCAGACCCCAGCCTGGTAGGCGAGAGACCTACTCTACCTAATGGCTCTGTGCATTTCTTCATGCATCGTCTCCACGTCATCTGTTGACCTCCACGTAGTTTTGTCTAGCCCGGATTAGCTACAGCGAATAAAGCGCGGTGCGGCAGACGACAGCTGGGCGTACGCAATACGTGCCCCAGCCAGCGAAGTCTACTAACCCAGTCTCACTAACTGGATAAATAATAGAGCAAGTAAACAAGTTTTATCATTAACCCAGCCTAATCTCATCCTGTTGAACGCACCACGGATGAATTGTCTGCACGCGTACATAGGGGTAGATTGGCATTTGCCAACTTGAGAAATCTATGGCACTGTCGGGAAATCCGGCTGTCCATGAAGTGTCGAGTGTATGCTACAGCAGTTGGGCCAGTTTTGTTATAGAGCGCAGATACTTGGCCATTAAGAAAACAGGATGGAGATAGGCTGTCAATGTTCAAACATCGCTGTCTACGCAGCATTGCACAAATCTGGTGGGGAGACCGGACGAGCAATGCTGATGTTAGACGCAAAGTAATCGCTTGCTAGAACAAGTCGACCTCCATAGATTACGCTGGTTGGAACGTGCGCTGTGCTTGTCACCGAGGCAGGTAGCTGATGGGATAAGGTCAGGGGTGGCCAAACTAAGACTTTGCCCGTAGGTATGAAACTCCTAACCAAGAGACTCGATCAAATAAGTTGCCTTAGGCTCCTTGGATGGGGACCGCCGGATCCTTGTAATCAGTAGTTAGAGACAGAACAATATGACTGATTGTGGTACACAGTGGCTTTTTGCATCTCAATTTTTTTTGCAAACTTAATTCACTGAAATTCTCCCTTTTCTTTTCGACTCTACTTACAATTTTCCTGTCTTTCTCTTGATCCAAATGGGCAGCCAAAAGACAGCGGCCGAAACTGGCGCACGAAAACGAATGGTTTATGATTGTACAAGCTGAACTGAAACAAGATGTCTCCAGGGTTATGACTTTTATCTTCGAGGGTGCACCTCCAGCCGTTGTGCAGCAAGGTGGCAGTATGTTGAGGGATTGTCGGCGAATTTCTGGGAGCTCACTCACCGTTTGACAGTTGTAGATTCAGTCTAGTGATCTATTCAATCCTATGAGTTCGGAAGGTTCTTTTGTATCAGTAGCTGCCTTCATATATCCGAGGTTCAAACCCTGTCACCACCACCCCACTTCGTTGGTTGGTAGCTTTGGTCTCATCCGTTTCAATACCACACGTTATGTGGTTTGGCACTTCAATTCCCGGGGCCGGTATTCATCACTGAACAGCAGGTCTTTGCAGCTATTGGTCCAGCCTGTCTGCTGTTCATCACAAATGTGTATAATAAAGGATATTCGCTGTCTCGGCTGCTTTTCTACCTAGTTGATCGACGTACCGAGATATGGTCACTGATGCACGCCTAATCTCATTACATCTCGTCACCGGTGGATGCTTGACCTTCGCAGTTTGCGATAGTTGGACCATCTGTGTTGCACGTCGCCAGATGGTATGTCATCTTTGCCGAGACGGGTGTTGGGTACGAGTAAGTCAAGAGGCAACAAATTAAGAGAAGACGTAAGAGTATCCAAATTCAGACATGTAAGTTTCATTAGGCCTCCCAGTTGGAACCGGTTTATTCAGCAGTTATGAGCACTCAGTTATGCGAGTATTTCGTAAACAGTGATGGCCATGTATGCACTTTCAACGCAAACCTAGTTTACTTGTCTTCTGTATCTTTATTTTTCTATTGACCTCAGCTATAAACCTTTCCATTTATTCCTCATTTTTTAACTCGACGGATATTTGAAAGGCGGCAACCAAAATAAATCGTATGACAGTACAGGGCTAGTAGTTGTAAAAAGTAGAACTGAATTTAAGCATGTCTTTAAAAATGTCGAGGACATAATACCATAGTTTGGGCAAGAATAGAAATAAGTCTACTTCCCGGTGATCCAGTTCAGGTTGGCTGGGTGTGATTGTCGTTTTTTAAAAACTAAGGTACATAGCTCAAACTAGAAAACTGGCGTGTATGATGTATGAAGTCCATGACATTAATGAGCGAATAATGAGAGATGCTATGATTTGGGCACGGTAACAAACACTCCTCCCAACAGTTCACAGTTCGTATTCGTCGTTATATACTTCATCACCTGTTTTTTCTGCTGTTACGTTCGTTTGCACCTTAAACGCCCCAGGTCCCTTTTGTATTGAAAACGTAGAAAAAAACTGCACAAACCTTTTATATTCATTTTCAGAAGATATTCGGTATGGCTTCTGGACGTACAACTCTACACAAGGAAATCGAAGAGGATCTGGAATAGAAGCACTTGTACAATGATTTGTTTTTGCAAATATATGACTTAGTTTTACATGATGTAATTGATGACTTTTGTTTTCATCTATCAACGTACTCCCACGTTTATGTTCATTGACAGAAATGTGCTTTTATTTCAGGCTTACGTCGCACAGTTCCTGCTTTTTGCGATTGCTTGGCAAACATGCTACACCCAGCGGGATCCATTTGATATGTTTTCAGATTCATCATCGTCCGATGACTATCCCGTGGCATCACACCAGACAGATGCATCACTCCAATCATCAGCATCTTCGCCAGAACAAGTGTCCGCTCTAAAGCACTATCGGGAGTTGCACCGTGTCCTGGCACGTATTCTCTGGCGAAGCCTAAGCATTGCTGAAAATCGGTCCTTGAATGAGGACGATCATGTGCGAATTCATTTGGTTGCTTCACTCAGTGTCGATGATATTCGCACATTGAGTGCCTATTGTAACCTGAATCAGACAATATCGAAACACGTATCAGCCGATTCTGTTAACGCTCTATTTTCCCGGTTGTTCGAATCCGTCGCAATCCTGTCTGACGAGGCGCCCTTTCTTCAAACCTCGAATTTTGGTTATCTCTTCTGTGGTTTGGGTCTTCTTGTTGTGCTTCTTGTCGCTCGTTTGATTGGCGTCAGGAAAATTCTCCTTATATCCGTTCCCTCGCTATTTATCACCGCCGTAGTTTTACAAGCTCTCTATCGAAAGTACAATGAGCGTTTGGCAGAGAAGATGTCACATATGTCTCGTTATAATGAACCACCTGAACAGTGTAAACCGGCCCACCTTCAATCTTGGTCTACTTGGTTGTCAGGTCTGATTCGCGCAAATCCTTCGCATGATGTTTGTGCCCAATACTATGAACAGGTCCTGACGGACCCCTGGATTGCGACCAGTCTGTATGAAATCTTCTTGGAACTGGTATTCGAACCACTGGTTACACTATCCCGCCTATCCGGTCGTGCCTGTGGACAGTTCTATCATCAGTTGAGTGTTTATTTTCCGTCTTATTTTGCCTTGCCGATAACAGTAGTGATGTCCTTATGTGCATTTTTTATTGTTCTTCGATGTATTTGGTCGCCCGTAGCTTCTGGTCGCCCTGCAAATCAAAAACGTCGTTCCAAACCTCATTTATTGAAACAAAAGCATGTGGCTGCATTGTGTGAGCCCAAGAAGCAGTAGAGTGCTCGTTTTACATACAGTGATCTGATAACAGAGTTCCACTTTTTTCTCTTTCGTCTTTGCTTTTCTATCTTTTCGAAGGAGAGAGTTTGTCCATCATTGAATTTCGTATTTTCTCTTGTCATAATGATCTTGAGATTAACGGTCAGCGCATACATATTTTTTTCAGAATTTTGTACAAGTTGTATTGCACATCAGTCCGTAAAGCTATGTATTGGCGCAACTAAGAGATTTCACGGAGAAAGTGCGACGCGAAATGGCTCTTCAGTGTGCGAAACAGAGCACTATATAGTTATCGTTATAAGGTTTTAAGATTTCTCATTTGCGCGGTACTGCTAGATTACCCAGGCCAAGCCAGGTTAATTTTCTTGGGAGATTCTCACCTGGAGCCTTTGACTAATCCAGACCTGACAAGCAAGATAGGGCTGTTTGAAACTCGCAGTCCATAGGGGACCCGGGGACCCTTCATCCAATATTCTAACTTTTAGCGTGGTCAATCGCCGAAAGACCCCTATACGTCCCGATATCCATTTTAGCCGGTAATCACCTCCAACACTAGGAAGGTGTGTGGATATCTCAGGAGTCAGTAGTTTTGATGAAGAAAAAACGAAAAATCCCGACCTCCGAGGCTAAAAAGAGAGTTAGGTGGTATCTACAACGTAAACTCACGAAGAGCCTCAAGAAGGACCGTGAGAACTGGTGGGCAACAATAGCTAGTGAAATGGAAGTAGCGGCTGCATCAGGGAATAGTCCGAGACTGTTCCAACTGATACGCAATACGGGAGGTCGGCGAACTCCAGTTAATGAAACAGTCTGCGATAAGATGGGACAAGCTGTTCACAATAGGGATCAACGACTCGACCGCTGGGCAGAATACTTCAGCGAACAGTTTATCTCCAACTGAAGCTCCGTGGGCAGTGTCACGCGATCCTTCAGCAGAAGCAGAAGTTCGGTCTTGCATTCAAGCTCTGAAGCGAGGAAAGGTAGCAGGACCGGATGAGCTCCCTCCCACTCTTTTCAAGATGGGGATGATAACCTTGCAAGCTCTATTACTACCCTACTGCGCAACGTTTGGACGCAAGAACACATTCCTTCATCTTGGGGCGAATCACTGATCGTTCCCATTTTCAAGAAAGGATGTTGCAACGACTGAAAACCACCGTGGGATCAGTTTGATCCCGATCGTCACCAAAGTGCTGGCTTCGGCTATACTTCGACGTCTGACGCCTTTAAGAGAGACCAGCATCCGTGAACATCAAGCCGGACTCCGGCCTGGCCGTGGATGTATTGATCGAATTTTTACGTTGCGTCAGGTCCTTCAGCTGCGTCACACCCATCGTCGACCAACGATCGCAGTGTTCCTCGACCTCGAAGCAGCCTTCAACTCAGTTGACCGCGAAGCTCTGATGGACTCCCTTCTTCGAAAAAGAATGTCTCAATACGTGAGGTCACTGTACTCACAGACCTCCGGTCGTGTGAGGGTTTACAACGAACTAAGTAGGCTGTTCGTCATCAGCAGCGGCGTCCGTCAAGGATACCCTCTTTCGCCGTTCCTGTTCAATTTCGTCGTAGACGAAATACTGGAGAACGCACTAATTGGGCTCCAAAGAGTGAGCATTGAATGGGCAACTGGAGAAAAGCTGTGCGATTTAAAGTACGCCGATGACATCATCTGTCTGTTCGAATGAATGGGGGTCGCGCAAAGCCCACTTGATAGATTAACAAATGCAGCAGCCACATTCGGTATGTGCTTTGCACCTTCAAGGTGCAAAGTGATGCTGCAGGATTGGGTTTCGTCTACTCCCGCTCTGAAACTAAATGACCAGGATTTAGTTATGGTGGATTGCTTTTCCTACTTAGGTATTTGCGTGACCAATGACGGTAGTGCAACAAAGGAGATAACCGCCCGCATTTCCAAGGCTCGAGCAGCAGGACTGAAACACCTTTGGCGTAGACGCGACGTTTCACTGAAGTTGAAAGGTCGTGTATATTTTGTGCTAGCGTTCACTTAGTCCTGCTTTATGGTTGTGAGACCCTGAATTTGGGAGTAGATAGTCACCGACTGGAAGTCCATTATCGGTGTTTACGTAGTTAAGCTCATGTTGGATGGAGCGAAAGGGTTATTAACGTGGAGGTAGACCATCGTGTGTTTGGGAGACTATCAGGTATAAACCTGCTGGCACACCGAATTCAGGTCACAGATTAGGCTGGGTTAATGATAAAACTTGTTTACTTGCTCTATTATTTATCCAGTTAGTG